ACTGCTCCCTTACACTCCTAAGTGACCCTGACTACCTCGTCGAAGATGAATGTAATTACACTACATAATCTTTGTATCTGCTGCTCAGGGTCGGACTCGGTCTCTGTTGTCCACAAGGGGTCTCAGTGGGTCGCACATAGACGCGACCGGGCCCATTACGGAGCGTTTTGTAGTGGTGGTCGAGTTTCGAAAGACAATTGAGACCGTGAGAAGCTCCGTCGTACGCAAGGACCCCACCAAGATAGGTCGTGTCCTTCAAGAGACATGCTCAAAATCAGTGGGGCGGCTTCCCTTGTCTACTGAGGAGTGGAGTAGGTGTCAGATTCCTCACACAAGCAAAAGAGTTTTTTGTTTTCGGAGAGACGCGGGTGTGACCCCGTATTTATAAATATTTTTTGTATAAATATGAAAAGTTTAAGTCGTAAATAAAACTCGTTACCAGGACCCTCGCAGTAAGCCTCGGAGGTCTCCTCCCACATTTCGGGGAGCGCTTTCTCTTACCCGGTTGGGCGGGGGTAACGACGGCCGTACACCCTTCTCGGGAGGGGGGGTAAGGAGGGGAGGTAAGTGAGAGAGAGTCGGTCATGACACCAAAGGACCTCTTTGTAGTGCAAATTTGTAGACAGACAAAGATTATTCATTATTTTCACGAGAGAATCGTAGGGGAGCTCGTACGCAAATACAAATTTACTCGGACGTCAGAAATACAGGCTGAGTAATACTTGTAATCCAACGTAGGAATTGTTTTAGTTTTTGGACCGACTTTTTTTTATTTTATTTTTATTTTGGTTCTACATGGACATAACGTAGAAAGAAACGTCAAAGGAGAGACTTAGAAGACTTCCATAGAAGAAATTGGGGGGAAAGAGACCCGGCGACTTCTTTCCAAGGGATTCCGAAGAAACGCGGCGTACTCTTGGGGACCGTCTTAACACTTTTCTAGACGTTTAGTCATTTTTATAGATCAAAGTGGGTGCGGCAGGTGGGGAATCAAAGGCGGTCCTTTCCTGACTAGGAGACCTGTTCTCATGGGAGAGGGATACGATGTGAGTTGCTACAGTTTCTTACTGAGTGACAGTGAAGGAGACTCAGGAGACTCTGCACCGGGAAGACCGACTCTCTCCTTGTGTCGCTGAGGGAGAAACGTGGAAGAGGAAAACGTCGGTGTCGAGGAAACGAAGTGACAATCAAAAAGGAAAATTGTCCATTGGAATCCGTCTTAGGCCCCTCAATGGTCGAAGGAGATCTTGTCTGCAGTCGGTGACGACCGACGTCAACACGAGTGATAGACGGAAAGCACACTGGACTCTACGACCACCACAATATGACACAATGGACCCGACGGGACACACGAAAGATGCGCACTTTG